GGAAATTTGGCATAAAGAGCTTTGAATTGCAAACATAAAGTGAATCTAGAATTTGAGACAAATACCCACAGTAACCTTGTAGCGTGACGTGAAATGAAATGCATGAAGTGTATGCGTAAATCGAGAGTCAGAGAAGTGCATTTTTCAGGGGGCATGAGATAAAGCACCGTTAAGGCGTGTGAGTTACCCGTAAATTCGCCAATTTCTGTACTTTATGGTTAGAAGACAAAATTATTGGAGGACTACCTGCTCTCTTGTGACAATCACTATCGATCGCTATACCATCATATATCATAGCAGTTTCTATTTGTTTGATAAGAAAAAATCGGAAATTCAAAAAAATGTGCAGGAAGTTGGTCAGTATAAAAAACTTCTTCTTTTTTTCCTTCTTATATTTTACAGTCGTCATACACTTTCGGCTTCACACTTTTTTCCACAATTTTAAATATCTCGCATGGTTAGATTTTGTCGGAAGTAGGAAAGAAACGCAACGCAACTTTATGTCGCAAAAAAGGTATTATTTTTGGTTTGTCTCAAAATATCTCCTTACGATGGATTTGCCTTGCTAGCGCGAATACTTCTAGTTTGGAGTTTCTTAGCAGTGCAGGGGTTAACACAAATGACACATAATCTAAGCTGTACTCAATTTAACTTCCGTCTCAATAAGGGTCAGGAGACTTTCAACATTAAATCCAGGTCACTTGGTTTATAGAGCCCTAAAACATAGTAAGAAAATATCTTTAAAAAAAATGGGTATGTGCCGAGGCATACGAGTATTCGCAGAGCTGTGCATTTTGGTGTTGTGGGTGAAACATTTGCAGCAGATAGACTGCAGTAATGTGGATAGCTGTCTTTACGTCTGCCTGTGATTTTTTAACGTATTCATCTGCCTTGCAGTTGTCCTTCTTGCAATCTGAAAAACAAAAGCAAAAACTAATAAATGATGCTGAAAATAGAGATAAGCTTCACAACTTGCACCTGTCAGTCTGCTGCAAGAGATTTTTCGTAATAAAACCGAGATGCACAGCGCTCTGTGGACAATGTTGGACTTCAGTCACATATTCACCTATTCAAAAAGAATTTCCTTATTTGTTAGATTTATGCGAATCGTGAGAGGCGAACC